AGGCAGGGGAACTACCCTCATCCAAGACCCTCAGTGGCTGCCTAAAGCCGTGGATAGTGCTGAACCCTAGTAGTTTTTTTTTTTTCTGCTTACACATATCTTTGTTTGTTTTGCTTTTGAGACAGTCTCGCTCTGTCACCCAGGCTGGAGTGCAATGGTGCGATCGGTTTACTGCAACTTCTGCCTCCCAGTTTCAAGCAATTCTCCTGCCTCAGCCTCCCAAGTAGCTGGGATCACAGGTGCCTGCCACCACGCCTGGATAATTTTTGTATTTTGATAGAGATGGGGTTTCACCATGCTGGCCAGGCTGGTCTTGAACTGCTGACCTCAGGTGATCCACCTGCCTTGGCCTCCCAAAGTGCTGGGATTACAGGCATGAGCCACCGCAGCTGGCCCTACTTACACATATCTATGGTAAAGTTTAATTTATAAATTGAACCCAGTAAGAGATTAACAATGATAATAAGAAAATGGAATCATTACAACAATATGCTGTTCACCATTTCATCGTTAGAAGATTCACTTTTAAACCAAATCTCAGCAACCTCAGCATACAATTTTTTTTTTTCTTATATCCTTTTCTTACTGGCTTGAGAACTTTCACCTTTTCATATAAAAGAAGGCCTTTGTGACTTCTCCTTGGCATATCCAAATGGCTAGCATCCTTGTACTTGCTCTTTGGGGTCATTATTAAGTAAAATAAGGGTGACTTGAACACCAGTATTGTGATGCCATGACAATAGACCTGATCGCCAGGGTGGCTAAGTGACTAAGGGTGGGTGGCGTCTGCAGTGTGGAAATGCTGGACAGAGGGAGGATTCCCATCCTGGATGGGTCTGTGGGAGATTTCATCATGCTGCTCAGAAGAGTGTGCGATTTAAAGCCTTAGGAATTATTTCTGGAATTTCCCATTTAATCTTTTCAGTCAACCATGGGTAACTCAACCTGTGGAAAGGGAAACCGTGGATATGGGGGGTTGACTATAGCAGCAAGAGACACGAGTGAACTCCGTCAGTGGGCTGCCTCAGGGGATTTCATTCAACCTGCCCTTAGCTTTCCTTGTTCTCTAAACTCTCAGCTTAGCTCGCAGCTTTGACCTTCTCCCGTGTGGGTTTGAGCACAAACCTGCCTTCTCACTCACCTCCTGGATCCCATGATTCCAGGGCTAAGTTCAGGAGGTACAGAGCAGAGATGACCTTCCCTCCCTGGTCTCTTCTTTCAGTATTGTTTATTTCTAATAAAGGTGGGGAAACTTTTCTTCTTTGATCGACTATAATTTTAGGGTTATGCAAATGCATAATCCATTGAAAAAGGTTTTATTAGGCTTGGCTTCTGAAGAATATAAAATATTGAACTTGTCCATTAAAGACAGAACAATCTTGATTCAATGAGTATCAAGTAATGAAATAATATTTTAGTTCCATCTCAGCCAGTTGTTACAAAAAGGTCAGGAAAGAGGAGGAGAAGAGAAATAGAAAGGGCCTTGAGGGAATTAAGGAGGCAGAGAGGTCTAAAAGAGAGCTGAAAGGGGAAAAAAGGAGAGAGGGAAAGAGAAAGTGAGGGGATTTACCAAAGATAAGTTAGCTTTTATTTCCTCCTTTACTTGTAGATATGGGGAGCGTGAAGCTCATAGAAACTGAGGACTCTGGTCAGGGTCACAGAGACAGGGACCTGCGTTTTCCCCCTTATACCACATTAAGAAACCACTATTGGCCAAGCTTGGTGGCTCATGCCTGTAACCTCAGAATTTTGGGAGGCCAAAGTGGGAGGATCGCTTGAGCCCAGGAATTCAATACCAGCTTGGGCAACATAGAGAGACCCAGTCTCTCTCAAAAATAAAAATATTAGCCAAGCACAGTGGCATGTGCCTGTACTCCTAGCTACTCGGGAGGTAGAGGCAGGAGGATTGCTTGAGTTCAGAAGTTTGAGGCTGCTGAGCTCTGATCTGATCTGAGTGAGCTCTGATCGCTTCACTATACTCCATCCAGCCTAGGCAACAGAGCAAGACTCCATCTCAAAAAAGAAAGAAGAGAAAAAAAAAGAAACCAGTATTTAGAACTTTTCAAATCCTTGGGAAAAAAACAACAACAAAAACTCAGTGCAACCACCACCAACAACAAATAACAAAACTCTCTACTAACCCTTGTTTAAGACTCCTGCTTGCTGGAAATGATGCTGGGGATTGTGATCCTGGGCGGAGAATGTCTCCTGTATTGCTGAAGCTGATGGCTTCCTGTGTGTGGCATTGAGCATGACTATGCTATATTGAGTTTGTATTGAACTGTACCCTAGATCATTGCTCAAGGTACTCTACCCATCTGTCTTATTCAATAATACAATCATTCATTCTTTCCATAACTATTTATTATCTATCACATACCAGGCATAATGGGGATTCCAAATAACATGGGAGTAGTCATTGCCCTGAAAGTGCTGTACTGCTAGTAGGACAGTTATGAGGGAAGCGATGCTGCTGTACTAAGTATTGTGGAAGACGAGGGGAAGAAGAGACTATGTCCGAGGAGAGAAGGGCTATTGGGGCAGAATTGGGTGGAGGAAGGGCTCATTTGGCGGTGGTCTGGAATTGTTGACTAGACCCCCTCACGGATACATTGTTATTAAGGAGCCAGTTGACTTAGACTTCCATGTATAAAGTCCTTACATAGATGGCTGAAGATAATTTAGTCTCTTGTCAAAGTAGACTTTTGTCATCAGGCAGAAGCCTTTAGCTCTTGCTTGTACCCACATCTTTCAGCCCAGCTTTTTGAGATCTGGGCAGTGAGAGGGAGTAGGAGGGTCCTTGTTAAGTCCTCACTGATTTGTGTCATCCTCTAATAGAAGCTTTGGGTCTCTTCTGATTGCAGATACTTTAAGTCAACAGTGGCACCCCTCCTTGTAATATTTCTAAATATTATGCAGTTAAGTGTTCAGCCTGTGGAACAGAGTTACCATTCTCACTTTTCTTAATTTTTTAACTTCCTGGAGCCAATTTTATTCCCTGATTAGAAAAAAAACCTCTTTAGTCCAAAAAGACACCAGTGCATTTTACTTAGAAGTCCTTGCTGAAATACCCTGTATGATGTTCCGCCGGAAGGGAGGTCTCAGGCATGCAGAAATCATCTCAGGCATGTCTGGGAAACCCACTTAAGTTGAAGCTGGGCTGGTTAGGTTACAGTCTTCTGGACACACCTTGGAGGAGGTGGGGAGAAAGAGGTGAGTTGATGAGTTCTTGCCATTGGGTTAATTAGATTTGCTAGTTTGGATCACCAGGAGGTTTCTGGATTCCAGAACGTAACTTGGGTACCCCTGCAATGTGTGCTCCAATCTTAGGGGGCATTGAAAGCCCACCATTTAACTGCAGGCAGAAGCCACCAGGCAATGGGTTCCCCATGGGAAGGGCTTCCTAGATTAGACAATCCCCGTAGTAAAACATGCCTATTAAAGGTGACACATGGCCAGACAAGACAGCCAAGATGAAAGAAGTTTGTGTACTTGAGTAATTGCATCTATCAAAGTTATTAGAGGTTTCCTAATAGGGCACAGGCACAAACATATTTCTTTTTTTTTTTAGACAAAGTCTTGCTCTTCTGCTCAGGCTGAAGTGCAGTGGCGATCACAGCTCACTGCAGCCTTGACCACCTGAGCTTAGTCCATCCTCCCACCTCAGCCTCTGGAATAGCTGGGATCACAGGCACACACCACTACATCTGGCTAAATTTTAATTATTTTATTTTTTATTTATATTTTTTATTTTATTTTTTGAGACAGTCTCATTCTCTTGCCCAGGCTGGAGTGCAGTGGCATCAATCTCAGCTCACTGCAACCTCTGCCTCCCAGGCTCAAGGGATTCTTGTGCCTCCGCCTCCCGAGTAGCTGGAACTACAGGCGTGTGTCACCACACCTCACTAATTTTTATATTTTCTTAGTAGAGACGGGGTTTTGCCAGACTGGTCTCGAGGCCTCGAGTGATCCGCCCACCTCAGCCACCCAAAGTGCTGGGGTTACAGGCATGAGCCACTGCCCAGACTTTTTCTTTTTAAACTTTTAGTAGAGATGGGGATCTCACTGTGTTGTGTAGGCTGGTCTCAAACTCCTGGGTTCAAGCCACTCTCCCTCCTCAGCTTCCCAAAGCTCTGGAGTTACAGGTGTGAGCCACTATGCCTGGTGCATGTTAATTATTATCATTTAAATGGTTCCTCATGGATGATGACCATTTTGATTTTTTTTTTAGTAAAAAGGATCTCACAATATTTGAATAAGTTCTTTCTGTCCTCTGCAAGAATACTATTTTTTCCTTTTATAACTAATAAATAATTTGTACCTAGATAATTTTAGATTATGTAAATGTCCCATCAAACTTTCACTGACTGGTTTTAGCTTCCGTCGAAAATGTTTTCTAACCCCATCATTCTTTATCTGAGAGCTTTTTCCTTCTTCCCCCATTTATGTCTCAGTAAGGGTTCGTGGATTCTTTCGTTATTCGGTGGGTTAGAATTCATTGCTGTCATGATTTATTTGGATGCTTCCATTATCACAGACTCGTCTAGTGGGACCCCGTCCTCTGTTCTTTGGGCCCATCCTCTTGATTCCTTGAATGTTTCCTAATCTTATGGTATCTCATGGCTCCTCTTGTACTTTCTCTGCCCCAGCCTTGGAATCATCTATTTCTTCAAGAAGGCCTGGTTCCTTTTAGAGAATAATGGTATTGAAAACCAGGATCTGGGCACCAGCTCTCAGCTACTGGTGTGTCATTGCTTTTGGGGCCTCTCTGTGGTTAAAGCTAGGGACTGTGCGTGCGTGCGTGTGTGTGTGTGTGCGTACGCATGTGCACACATGTTAATTTTTCTCTTTCTCTAGCTCTATATATTCATATCTCTCTGTCTATATAGAGCTATATGTATTTTAGAGGTAAGTTTAAGCCAAACCCACGGAGGTAGGAGTCTACTTAAGCACGGGTGTGTAATTCCGGGTGTATGTCTCTTCTTTTCTCTTGTTGACAGGTGGCTCAATCCCTTGTTTAAGATTGGCCATAAACGGAGATTAGAGGAAGATGATATGTATTCAGTGCTACCAGAAGACCGCTCACAGCACCTTGGAGAGGAGTTGCAAGGGTAAGTGGGAGGCAGTAAAGTGGGCATTAAGGAAGCGTGGGTGTCTGTGTGTGGGGAGTGGGTTTTGCCTTCCTGAGTCCCGTCTGGAGCCTCTGTATACCCTTGAGGTGAATGTTTGTCACCTTCCTCAGGCTGCCCTTAGGCTCAGCCTACCATGGTGGCCTGGGGGAAACTCCTGAACTTCTGGATTCTGGAACTTAACTTGGGTACCCCTGCAGTGTGTGCTCCAGTCTTACGGGGCATTGAAAGCCCACCATTTAACTGCAGGCAGAAGCCACCAGGCAATGGGTTCCCCATGGGAAGGGCCTCTGTAAAGGTTGGGGGAGCCAGCATCAAAGGCCCGAGATGCCTGAGATCTGTCCCTGGAGGTGGAAGTGGTATGGCTGGAGGAGGTTGTCCGGCTTATCTGTGCTGTGATGGGGCTTCAATCCAGCAAAGCTTGGCAGTAACTTGTTTCCCCAGACTTCCCCTCAAAGCCTGCTTTTCTGATGCTACAGATTCTATACCACATATACCCTTCAGGAGCCCTGAGATCAATTAGCAGCATTTATGAGATAGTCACAAAATGCCCTGTCTTAAATGCCTACCTGTCACTCTGCCACCTCCCCTGTTTTATATTGTGGCAGGGTACATTGTTATTTACAAAGCTTTTTCCTCATTGTAGGTTCTGGGATAAAGAAGTTTTAAGAGCTGAGAATGACGCACAGAAGCCTTCTTTAACAAGAGCAATCATAAAGTGTTACTGGAAATCTTATTTAGTTTTGGGAATTTTTACATTAATTGAGGTAAAAGCTTTTACATACCGTGAATTGTTTTTCAGGACACATAGAGTAAACGTGCTCGCCATTGATGGTGCTGTAATGGATGGGGGAACAGAAGGGAGAAGTGGCCAGATGGGGTTTGAAGGTATTTTAAGGTCTAAGGATTAAACGTGTCTAGGAAGCATTAGGTAGTTAGTTCAGTGAGCGTATTTATCCGAGTGAATACTTAAATGACTAAAGCTCAAGGTCATTATTGTTTTTCTTGTAACCAATTAAAATGCAGTGTCATGGAAGAAGAGCATTTTATTCTATGGTAGAACAATGCTGGTGCTCAGTAAATGTTTTAAATGCTGAGTCACTCCTGATCCAAAGAGGATCCTACAGCCTCGAGGAGCGCGTGCCCTGTGGTTTGGAGGAAGTGATTTTTGATCAGAGCCCAGAATAATGTAAGACACTTTACAGGTGCTCAACAAATAATTGTTCACCAAGCCAAATCTGATAAATGCTCTCCTGGAGAGGTATTGTCACCTCTCCCCTCTCAGGGAAACAGAGCCGAGGGCCTTGCACCTGGGCTGGCGGTGGTGCCCCAGAGGCTGGAGCAGGCTGAAGCACCCAAGAGCTACCCCCTCCCAGTGGGCCCAGGTGCTGGGAGCCAAAACCCCCTCTGGGAAGAAGGTCCGAGGACTGTGCTTCCCAGGGGATTCATCACACCTGTCCGGTGTGTCTTCCTTGCTGTCGGAGTGGATTACTGGTTGGAAGGTAGAGTCTTGGTGCCTGGCCCTGCAGAGAGTGTATAAATGGACAGTCCATGAAAAATCAAAGGCAGAAAGCCGGAAGGGCATTGACCTCCGTTACCCCGAAGGGCCTCTATCGAGATCCTGCAGCAAGGCAGTGTTCTGCCTAGGCACACTGCCAGGTAGCCTGTCTGTTCTGGTCTGCGGCCTGCTAGAGGGGATGCAGAGAGTCCTGCTTGGTGACTTGTGTCCTCTGTGCTACCTTAGGGATGTCAGTGGTCCATGAAAGTAAGAGGGGTGGATGTTGCTGTTGCTACGAAAGGGTGGCTTTAAATGTGGGTTGGGGAGTTGTCACGGTTCATTTTGTTGGGAGTGAGGTGGGGGAGGTTGGTTTGTATGTGGGGGGTGTAGCTCCTGTTGAACATGCTTTTTGTTGTGGAGGGCTCGGTGGACAGTGGGAGGCAGGTAGGTGCGCTCTGCTCTACACTAGAGTAATCTGTCAGACAACAGGGGACTGGACGGTCCTGGGAGATGGATGGTCTCATTGGTGACAAAGGTGTGTTGGCCAGGGTGCCAGATGGTGAATGCCACCTTTGAGAGGATACCTGCCCTGCCTGCATGCCGCTGTGGCTTTGTGGAGGATGGGGCGGACATGTAGAATAACCGGTGGAACTGACTTGAGAGTGGAAGAGGGCGTAGGAGCCCCTCAGGTTCTCCCAGCCCCTCTTCAACCTGTGCCGGGGTGTCCCAGCGACGGTGTTTCCCCATGGCCCCAATCAATCTCAGTTGGAAAGAAACAGAATGACAGGTTGCTGTCAATGTGGCCAGCGTGTGCAGGATTTCCTGGCCCAGTTTGGCTGTGCAACCTCAGAGAAGTTGTCTGGTAGCCGTGGAGCCTCCGTAAGTGCCTGAGGCTCACACCAGCTGTCTGGTTAGGTGTAGTAGGAATGAATGGCCTCACATAAGTTTCGAGGCAGGCCTCCCTCAGCTACTTCCATTTCTCTAGGTTCCCTTTGTTACCAGCTGCTTATGAAATTGAAAACAGGATGATCTAGAAGGAACTGAGCTTGCGATGCTCAGGGCTGTCCGTGCTGTCGTGGGCTGCCAGCCACTTGGGGTGGGGTCTCTAACCCACAGATGGTGACTAGACTACAGTGAGATTTGGGTAAGCTTTTGGGAGAAGTAGGCACAGAAGTAGAGGCTGTGGAAATGTGAATTTCTCCTGAGACTTGAGGACGGGCCCCAGTCTGGTGCTGGGAGCATGGTCATCCTTACTGCTGGTGGGCATGTGGGAAGGGGCCTGGATCGAGGGGAGCTTAATACAGGTACAGTTGGTGGAGAGCTGGTCTGTCTTTTAGCAGGGTGGTTTTTGGGCAGTCATGGCAGAAGAGTAGGGAGTGGAGGACCTGGCAAATATGGGGGCTCATGCTCAGTACTGCTTAGCAGCAGCAGTGCTAGTAGAAGCAGCAGCAGGATTAGTAGTGGTTGGTGCTCAGTAGCAGTAGCAGCAGCAGTGCTAGTAGCAGTAGTTGTAGTAATAGTGACAGTGAGTACTTGAAAAATAGTATGTACCAGGAACTGCTATGAATTCTTTTCTTTCTTTTTTTTCTTTTTCTTTGTCTTTTTCTTTTCCTTTCCTTTTCCTTTTCCTTTTCCTTTCCTTTTCTTTTCTTTTTTTTTTGAGATAGGATCTCACTCTGTTGCCAGGCTGGAATGCAGTGGTGCTATCTTGGCTCGCTG